CTTGCAGATGTTTCATTACCTGGCTAGGTAACATCTTCAGTGCTAGAAGGGAGTGGGGTTTCCTCTGTTTATATACAGTAGCTTGCCCTGTCAATGTTGGTGGGGGTGTTTTTTCTCCTTGGTAGTTCCTTGATTAGGCTGTTGTTTACTGCTTGTCTCTTGGTAGTTCTTTGATTAGGGTATTGTTTACTGCTTGTTTGTCCAGTGTAGATCCTGGTGTTAATCCTTGTTTATCTGGGTATTGATTGCTAGTGAGGAGCTGTTCTGGTCTTTTTGTTTCCTTTTTATTGTCTCTTTTGAATAGCGTGTAAATGTTGTTTATCTCTATGTGCCTGTTGATGGCTGACTTGTCTGAATACCATGCTTCCAGGAATTCCCTTGCATTTTTGGATTTAGCTTGAACTAAGACACTGACAGTTTCCTACTTGAAATTATGGTTAAGTCTGTCCATGTGTTATGAGATTAAGGAGTTTTCATTGTCTCTTCTGACTGCTAGTTGGTGTTCATGGATGCGCTCTGCTAGTCTTCTGCCTGTCTGTCCTACATAGTGGCTGTTACAATCCTTACTTTGTATGTTGTAGGTGACTCCTGTTTTTTCTTCTTGGGCTACTGGGTCTTTTGGTTAACTTAAGATGTTTTGGAGGGCTTTAGTTGGGTTATGTGCTACAGCGATGCCATGTGGTTGTAATAGTCTGTTGGTTGTTTCTGAGATGTTTCTGATGTATGGCAGTGTTATCCTTTTCATAGCTTCTCTACTATTGTCTCTTCTCTTCTCTTGTCTAGGAAATTCTATACACCTTGCTGGATAGAGACAAGGTCAAAGCCTGAAAGACGAACAGCACTTATAGCAGCTGAAGTTCACCGTTATAGCACTGACATCACTGCACTCAGTGAGACCAGGCTTGCAGATGAGGGTTCATTACAGGAAGCAGCAGAATGACAGGACAGGTCTTTTACAATGGTGATATGTCAGCTGCATTTGCCATCTCCAATGGGGTGAAACAGGGTTGTGTGGTAGCCCTGGTCCTGTTCAATCTGTTCTTCACTTGCATGTAGTCACATGCTGTCCAGAGTCTGAAGGAGGGAGTGTACATCAGGTACCAGTTGGACAGCTCTCTCTTTGACCTTCACTGCTTGAATGCTGGGATGAAGTGCCTCCATACAGTCATTCAAGAAACCCTCTTTGATGATGATTGTGCAGTCCTGGCACACAAAGACAGTGATCTATAGTTGATGCTGAACAAAAATGCTGCTATGCTATTCGGCCTGACTATTACTCTGAACAAGACTGAACTACTTTACCAGCCTGTGCCAAATACCAACCCCGTAGAACCAACCATCACTGTTGACAACACCCAGCTGACAAATGTAACAGCTTCAAATACATGAAAAGCATCATCTCAAGTGATGGGTCTTTGGACAAAGAAACTGACTCCAGGATCAGCAAGGCCAGCCAGGTTCTGGGGCGGCTGCATACTACAGTGCTCAATCAACACAACATCCATATCTCCACAAAGCTGAAAGTCTACCGACTGTGGTTATCCCTTCTCTCCTATATGGATGTGAGTCCTGGACTCTGTTCCAAAGGCACATCAAACAACTGAAGAAATTTCACATGTGCGCTCTCTACTCCATCCTTGACATTCATTGCCAAGACCATGTTTCCAACCTGGAAGTTTTGGATTGTGCAAAGTCCACCAGCATTGAGTCCTTGATTATCAGAGCCCAGATGCAGTGGGTGGGACATATCATCAGAATGGACGGCCACTGTATGCCTCGCCAGTTGCTCTACGGTGAACTGGAGTCTGGGAAGAAACTTTGAGATCGTCCACACAAGCACTACAAAGACACTGTGGAAGAAACCCCATGCCACTGTGACATCCAGCCAAGGGAACCAGAAGCTGTGGCTGCTGACAGAACCCACTGGTGAGCCCTGTGCTATAAAGCCTCCACCGGCTTTGAAGACAAGCACCACCAAAAACTGATGGAAAACCGTGTGTGGCATCACAGAATAACATCCGCAGTTATTACAACAATGATTTCCAGTTCCCCCATTGTGCTAGACTCTGCACTTCCAGACTGAGACTGCAGAGCCGCCTCTGTGCCCACAGATGAACTCCCCAACAGCATGTCTTCTTTGAACCTGAAGGACTACTTATACATAGTATAAATATTAACACATTTAAAAACCACAATTGAATGTTTCTTTCATACAGGAAGAAATGTCTAGGCAATGATCAACACAACTCAAATTACGAATCACACATGCAGCAATATCAGGGCATTCTGAATTACCTGACCCAAAAGGCACACTTTTCTTACCTGTTGATAAGCTTTATTTAAAAATAGGTATCGTTCTGACCTCCTCATAGGCAAGCAGAGGCTGTAAATAACATGAACTGTCGCAAAGAAAAAACTAAGTAATCCAAGCTGTTTTCTACATTGCAGCCAGTTCTCTAACCAGGGTGGAAACAGTTTGTATTTAGTACCATAATAAAGTTGATAAGCAGCTGCCAGGAGCCCTGATAAATACACTAGAGATAATAAAGTAATTGCAACAACTGGCAATGTCTTGTTCACAATTTCAATAGGAATCTTATAAAAATCACTCTGCTGATTCCTCACATAAGGATGTATTACATCTCTAATAAAGGAATAGATAAAAAAGAAGGTGGCTAGGCCAACAGCCACTATTACTGGTCCCTTCCACAGTGTGAACAGTTGAAGAGGTAAATCTTCAATCTCCCTTGCAGATGATAAAGTGCCCAAATCAATAGGAATAAAATTGAGCTGACGAGCAAGTTCGATAATTTGTTGTCGAGCTTGAATGCTGTTACTGCATATGTAAACCTAAAACAAACAAACAAACAGTAACTGCAATGACTAAATAGTCAAACTAGAGTTTATATTTCCAAGTATGAGAACCCATTTCCTGTAATCACCTTTAAAAGTTTTAACTCAACTTTTCAGATATATTTCTCACTTGTAATTTAAAAAGACATTTGTAATTACGTTTATCTCTACTTATATAACTCAAGGATGCAAAACATGTTGCCCAGGGCCACACATAATCCTCCCAAATCCTGGATGCATCCCTCAGAGCCCCTCCAAATATTGATACTAAAGGAGAAGTTATTAAATACATGGGACATAACCAGTAGACCTGTGAACACTCTGAAAATGATTTGGAAGAAGTGTCATTCAGGCATATATCTTTTTTTTTCTATACAAGTCTGAAAAAAGATCCTGCTCCTTTAATGAATGAAATCATTACAAGCGCACATCTTTAATCCTACTCTTAAAGCAGCCACAACTTTTTTTCAGACTTCTATGGAAGCATGAAAAAAGACTTATATGCTTTACAGTAAGGAATAGCAAATATGTGCTGCGCGCATGCAAGGTCCAAAGCCATTTCTTTTTAATCATTTTCACAATATACAACAGCCCTACTAACCACATTAATTGTACTTACTTTAATTTTAATTAAATTGAATGTATGTTGTCCAACCCTCTTTTGCTCTGGTCTTATTTATTTTTTTGATTGTGGACTGATGAGCCATTCCAAGGCCAAATGAGGCTCTCAGCCAGAAACTCTCCTCTGCTTCCTGATAAAACTGAATGCTAAAGCTATTATACCATGAAGATGAGAAATAATATCATTTCATTTTGTAGGTAGTCTCATATGAAAAATTACAGCATTTTGTAACAGAGGCTTCAAGTAGTTTCTCATTTATTTATTTGATAGTTGATTAAATAAATTATTTCAGAATTACATCTGCTAATTTCTTAAAAATTGGACAATAACTGTAGGTTTTTGAAAATCTCTTATAGCATCCAAATACACAGAACACCTCTGTGCAAAGCTAACCGGGATAAAAGCATTGGGTCTGTCCTGTTTTGTTTCTAAATATCTGCAGTATTCTGCTATTTACAAATTTCCGGTGCTAACAACTGTGTAACTTCTTTGGTGTTTGATGTTTTTACTGGTTTTTACTTGGTTTTACTTCAGCAATACCAGTTACTTTTTATTGCCTTGACACAGAGAGCACTGTTTGCTCCATGTGCTGAATGAAATTTTGAGTGGCAAGAGAATGCTGTTGGTGTGAACAATAAAGAGAATACTTTCCTTATGCCATTGTTTTATTTGGGAATATATAATAACAAGTTGATTATGGGTATTAAAGGAGGCACTCATATTTTCATTGTTTTAAGTGCTGAAATACATAACTCACCTGTCTGCTTGCATCTTTTGGTCCTACTTGTAGTGCCCATGCTGAAATAACATTGAACCCTTTGACAACAAAGGAATCTGGGAAAAGGGATGCCAAGTACTCCGCATTGGATTCTGGATACTGGTTAATTTTCATGTTGTTGCTGACATCGACAAGGATTTTACCAACAAGTAGGTGCTTGAGGTCCCACAAAGCTGCATAGTGTTCTCTGCGTATAGCAATGAAAATTATGTTTGCTTTTGCCACAGCATCTTCATGATGAGTGACATCAACAACATGGGGAAAGAATTCAGCAACAAATTTAGGGTTTCTGCTTCCTATTACCACGTGGAACCCACATCTGATAAGCCTAATGGTCAAGGATTTAGCGAAGTCCCCACTTCCAATTATGCCAACTGTAATCTTACTGGTGTCCTTGATATAATCCCTGCCATTTGGTAAGAAAGTTTCATTTAAGACTTTAGGACTTTCCATCATAGAAATCGATTCCATATCTGTATACAGAAATTGCAAGGATATTTTCTAAAAGAAAACAGAAAAACACATGATTAATAACCCACATGATTAATTTCTCACTGGTATATCTTGAAGCAAATTTCCTATACCAACTGAAAATTTAAAAAAATCAGAACGGAATGTGACACTCGTGCCTGCAGTAAGAAAAGCCTAATTCCTCTGCTCCAAGCTGGAAAGAAAAGCCCTGTCCTTTGTAAAAGTAGGCAGGACCTTTAATTCTAGCCCTCTATGTATGCAGAGTAAAAGCACTAGAGAGCAAAAGAATTCAATAAACATCAACCCTAGCTATGAAAAAAAATGACAGAGAGAATTTATGGTAAATATGTGTATAAAGTTAAGTTTTCATGAGAAATCTGGGATTCTTCAAAAATACATTTGTCTGCCAAAGTTGGCTTCATCTTTATAAAATACACCATATCCAAATTTCATTTTTAAGCTGCAAAATAAAAATGGTAACTGATAAAAAAAAAACACTATTTCAATTTGGGACCAGTGTTGCTACTGTAATGGCCAACTAGGACTTCCTACATAAATAGACACAAGTAAATTTCAGATTTTATACTGATCCTTCTGCTGCTGTCTAGCAGTGCAGATACGGTAGCTCTAGAATAGGCTGTTTTACAAGACAGCAAAAAGTGTAATCTTTCTTTTTAATCTATATCTATATATCTATATATAGTTTTTATTTTTTTATTATAGTAGTAAAATCTAATATAAACTAAACGTAAAGAAGGAAAAGAGAATAGGAGTAAAAAGTGCAAGGAAAAAAAGAGAGAGAGAGAAGAAAGAGAAAAATAAGAATATAATAAATATATAAAGAAAGTGACTTCCAATTCATCACAAGTATTAACAAATTTAGTGACTCTTTACCCCTTCTAAGGTTACCAACATTTATCTCCATTCCGTATCCCATCTCTTATCTATAAACAAATCCATAAAACATCATCTTTTCAGTTGTGGTGTCAGCAGAAAGTCCATAAAGGGTTGCCAGAAGTAACAACATATCTTGTTTTAACCTTTGCAAACCAACACAAAAATGTAATCTCTGAGCCACATGTGGCCCAACAAGGGTTGAATGCAGCCAAAAATCCAACCCTTCTTCCCCAACTTTCTTCTGTGTCTACTTGCTACTGCATTTCCCAACCCTTTCCCACCACTTTGCCTTGTATCCTTTCTCCCTTTTCAAACCTGCCTTTCTTTCTCTCTCTCAATTTTTTCTCACCATCCTCTTTACCTTTTCCCAACTCCTATCTGATCATTCCTGTTCATCTACTCTCTTCCAAACTCCTTTTGTAAAACAAAAAACCAGCTACATTTTGCTATTATGGAGAAGACTATGATACTGATAGCTTCCTCAACTAATTAAAAAAATTGCACTTTCCCCCTTTTGAAACAGTAAGAAAACTTCCATCTGTCCCCTCTTCCCAAAAATGTATGCCTGCACTGTTTAATCTCTTCTACCTTTATTACCTTCACTTCCTCTTAGTCCAATTTGAGACTAAAATCAAATTGTCAGCACTGAAACTCTTACTATTGAATGTTGTACCACCATCTACTGGTGAACAAATAAACTCAAACTGTTTTCTGTTTTTCATTTTGCTAAAGAGATATACAGAGTTTGTATGTATATGATGGAAAACTTGAAGTAATATCTAAGATCCTATTCCTGCTTGTTTTTGGAATGAAGCTTTCAACATCCCATATGATATATGTGATCTTTGACTGGAATTATGCACCTACAGTATGTTGTATAAAATATAAATAAATACAAATATACTGGAAGATGGTATAATTTGTATATCAGACTTATTTCTGTTTACTAATTTCTGTTAACAGATAATCTGTATATATAAAAGTAGGGCTATCATCCAATTCAAGCAATGCCAATTAAAGATACACGTTTTAGGATGTAAGTGCAATGTAACACACAGCAGTAAGTCATGTACTTACAGAGGTGGGAATGCCTCTTCTGTAGTAGTATCTATCATTTGCAGTTGTTATAATACTTATATTAAAAATTTCTACAACAAGAAAAAGCAGTTTGTTCTCAAAATTTGTAGTTCAATTCAATTACTTTATTACTCAAATGTTTTCCTATTTTTTTAAGGCCTGTGGAAATGAATCTGTCTTAAATGTGACTTGCAAATCCAATTAACTTTTGGTCAACAATCATTTTGCCAAAGCAAACTGATGAAATAATATTTTGTCAAGCTAATGATGAGAAATGATAGTTTACTGCATCCCATGAGGGTGGTATTTTCAAATGTACACTGTGAATCTTTCTGCTACTTGCTAATCTTTTATTAATAGAAAATCAGTTACTTTTATTTGCTCTTGAACAACTAAAAGGTCTAACATCTATAAGGTTTATACATTTTTACTAAACACTCTGTTCAAATGTTAAAATTATTAATTTTTAAGCTTCTTAAATTTTATACCATAGTTCTGTAATCAGAACATCTGAGAAATTTTCTTTAAAATACTAAAGTTCTAAACTGTTTTATTTGAAACTTCCCGACAGTGGTACAATAGTTAATGCAATACTGTTTACTTAGTCAGTTTGCCACTTTTTAATTCAACAAAAAGCAGCGAAGGAGTTGCCAAAACCTAGTGTTTGATTCAAACTTCTGGGAAAGCAATGCAGCAATAGAATATGAGAGAAAAGTATTGCTTTGCTACTAAATGCTTAAGATGAGCTTTACAGTAACAGAATTGTAAACAGGATATGTTAGGATAGGATAAAGGTCTAAATCCCCTTCATGGATCACTGCCATGTCATGGCGAAGAGTTCTCACAAAACGTGATCCACTGAAGAAGGAAACAGCAACCCACTCCAGTATCGTTGCCAAGAAAACCCCATGGACAATGTCAAAAGGCTAAAAGATATGACACCAGAAGATGAGCCCCTCAGGTCAGAAGGCATCCAATAGGCTACTTGGGAAATGTGGAGGGCAGTTCCAAG